CACACACACACACACACACACACACACACACACACACACACTGGGATAATGTAGGCTTCTCTAACCCATAGTCGTGCAACCTGGAACCTCAGCATGTTTGCTAGATACAGCACTGGGTAGGGGGTGGGAGGTTATCCAGCATCCTAGGCTTGATAGGTGATATAAACATCAGGGAGGAGGGAGCTGTAGCTGCTATTCTTTGCAAACCCTGATCAATGTTTCACAAGCATTCATGCCCAGACTCCCAAGGAAGGCTTTGCCATCCCTCTTGTGCCTGGCCCACATTGTCAATTTATCATGGGCCAATTGGTCTCAGAGTCTTCATTAGGTCCATACTCATGTCAAAATGGCATGTTTACTCGAGACTTCACTTACTTAGGGCTTTCTTTGCCTCCTACATTTTGCTCTTAACAAAGTGGCATTTCATTGGGGTAGTGTCTGGCTTATATTTGGAAATATTTACCTTTGGGAGTTAGTGATGCCAGACAAGAATCCTCTAACTTCCTGATAGAGCTTAAGTCTTACAACCATGCCTGGCAGCTCAGCTGTATCTGCCATCTCTGAATCCAGAATCTCCCTCTACTTCAGCCTCTTCAGCATGTGGCCCTCTAAATCTGGCCACATCCACATGGAGTAAAGGTAATCCTTGGGACTTGATGTGAGATGGTTAATTAGTTTAATTTCTCTTAATAATACTTTTGGCAACACCCTGCATAGAATTCCTGTTTTCAGAGGTACCACATGCATCCAGGGTTTTCTCTTCGTTTCTTTGTATGTTGACTACATAGCACCTTACTTTTTGTATTGGTATCCTTTATTTACTTGAAAAGTTTCACATTCCCTTTTTATGTGTTTATTGATAAGTATTTGTAAATTATATTTGATTAATTGTATCAGTTATGAGATTTGAATCATCTATAGGTTTCTGAATATTTGCATGTATGCTCAACAAGTTACTATTTTGAGTGCTGTGGGTTTGTTGGTTTTTACTTTGGTATGGTCAATTTTGTCACACACACAGAGAGAGAGAGAGAGAGAGAGAGAGAGACAGACAGACACAGACACAGACACAGACACAGACACAGACACAGACACAGACACAGACACAGACACAGACACAGACACAGACACAGACACAGACACAGACACAGACACAGACACAGACAGAGAATATCATGGGCAGGTAGAAGACCCTGGGTGACAACTGGAATTTCTAGGTTCTTGTTTCCCAGAATAAGGTCTTACTTTGGCCAGGAACCTGTGACTATTGGTAGCATTAGAGACAGTTTATTAAGAAAAAGAACACTTTGGATCTGGAGAGGAAGTTCAGCAGTTAGGAATGCATACTGCTTTTCCAGAGAACTCCAGTTGAATTCCGAGAACCCATGATGTGAGTATGCTCACAACTCCAAATCTTTGGGATCTGACACCCTCTTCTGTCCTCTGCAGGTACCTGCATTCATCGGTGCACACACACACACACACACACACACACACACACACACTTTTTAAATAAAAATAAACCCCCAAAACAGGAATAAGGAGGAGAAAGAGAACACTTAACAAGCAAGGATGTGGGCCAGAGAGCTGAACAACTAGATTAGAAGTTAAATATTTGTGTTAAGTTTTCCTAAAAGAGGATTTTGCCCTTATTTAGAAGTGATAGTCAATTAGTGGTTTTCTGGTCTCATGCATCTTCTCTGGTTTGTGTTTAAACTGTTGTCTTTATTTTTTATTATATGTTTTTCAAGAAGCCTACTTTGGCTGGTCTTATAATCTCCAAATCTGAATAGTTGTGTCTTTCACAACCCTGAGCTTATACTCAGCTGTTTTTCTCTTTCATTTTGCCCTTGCCACTTTATTGTTTCTCTTTGTAGACAATTTTTAATAATATGCATTTAGAGTTTTATTTCTTTTCTCTTTATGTCTTGTTAATATCTTATATATTATTTCATGTGCTTAATTCTGGATTTCTTCAGCTCTTTCTTATAGCTTATTGATTATTCTTGCAGTAACATCCATTATGCATTTTAACCTGTGAGAGGAATATTTAAATTCAACTGCATTTAAGGATAGTGAGTAAGGTTTTATTGTTGGTGGTGGTACTCTCTTGTGTTTAAAACATTCATTTAGGTAATTAGTCACTTTAAATAGCTTGTTGTATACCAGAGTTTCATAATCTAAATCCCTATGCAGTCTCATTCAGGTATTTATTTTTTGGCTGATTGTTCCTCTTAGTTGTGTTGTTATCAGTCCATGTGCCCTTCATCCTGTCCCTTTGAGCCTAAGGTGAGGCACAGCAAGAAGGCCAAGAGAAACCATATTAGAAGAGACTGGCCACTTTTTGCCTTATAGGATATACAGATTATGAAAGGGCCAGGGATAAGATACATCTTTCTGTGGAAATCCCCCAGTGTCCCACTCACTCCAGCTAAGCTCCACTTCCACCTCCCTACCACTTTTAAAGTGTTATCATATTGGAATGCATTAAGGGCTTATCCACTGACTAGGTCATCGTCTTTTCAATACAGCCACTCCACCAAAGCCCACCAGCTAGCAAAGAATCCCCCAATGTACCAGTCTGCGGGGTACAGTTGATAGTCAGAATATAACAATGAGAAACAACAAACGGCTTCTGTCTTATAAAGTTAATTACTCTCAAAGCAAATGAGAAATGGCTCAAATTTCAGTCTCTGGGGTTGGAGTCTAAGGGTCTACAGTTCTCAAAACTTTTATAAGGTAGAATAATGTGAATGAAATGATTAACTGGAAATTAAGTGCATAGTGAGTACTAAGGATCATTAGTTAAGTTTTCTTTTTAATATAAGATTTTTTATCTTGACTATTTAATTCTTATCACCAATTGCTGCCTTTTAGGATGGGCAGGAAGTAGTTTCTTGCAAGTGGATGGAGAGAGAATTAGGTGTATGGGCCTTTACAAACACAGCAACCTAAAGCTTAAGTCCTAATTCCACCAGTTACTAGTTTAGAGGTTTTTTTCATGGGATGAAGGCAATATACCTGGCTATTACAAGGTATAATTTAATTTTCCTCCTATGTAAAAGTGAGTTAAAATATACAACTTTTGTTTAAGGATGTAATACCTAAGTAAAATAAAATATTTAAAAACACTTGAGATGTTTTCTAATAGTGAAATGTTAATAATTAATAAAAATCCCACTTACTTTCCACCCTTTTATTTCACTTTGTCTGTTTGTATCATTTCTTTATTAGCTTTTTCCCTTTATTGACAATCTAGTTCCTGCATATACAATACAGATTCTAAGTTCACTGGAAATGGATTTGACACTTGAAATCTCAAAAGAAAAGAGAGGATTATGCCTTGTGAGGTTCAAAGGCCATTTGTCCCCTTGATATTGATTTTCTTAAATCAGATAGTAGCCAAGACCTTGGGAAAAGTAATTGAACTGACAACCAGCAAGTCTAAGTTATTAATAATAGAGCAGCCTTGGACATTCTTGATGACTTCATGTAATAACAGAAGAGAGGTCTGAAATGCCTGGAGTTGGGGTTAGTGGCTGCGTCTCTGAGAAGAAAAGAAAACACAAGTTATTCCTGAGAACTTATTTCATGGAATAAAATATTTGTGATAGTTCCAAATACAAGGGAAGATGAAGTTGTCATGATCTTGTTTTTTTAATAAAATAAAACTTTAAAGCTTAAAACTTTCCATCATAATTCTTTTTTCCCATTATTAAAAACTGATATACTAAGGGTTATATTATCTTAGACTCTCAGTAAGAAACTACTCAAGGATAAGATCATGGCTGTCTTATCATTTTTATCCACTTGTTTCAAATATCAATACTGTCATCTACTAATTGTATGACTTTTTGAAAGTGAAATCACCTCTCAGATGTTTAGTTTCCATATCTGGAAAATGGAGAAATATATGTTTTAATTATAGTTATGGATGAATATTAAGTTCTTTTATGTAAAATCTATATAACACATCTCATGTAAATAATTATTGAATAATGTAACCCATGATTTTTTTATATTTTATCTCTTTTGCTGTAAGTGTAGTGAAAGGCTTGGCAAAAGTGATATCTCAGAACCTTTTTCTTTCTGCCATCTACTCTAATTGCATGAGCACTAGTCTTAGACATCAGTGGCATTGGGTGTCTTTCAATCCTGTTCATCTTTCTTTCATAATTCTTGTCTTCCCTTATGAAAAATGTGTTTATTAAAATAAAGGTATGATTTTTTTTATCAGCACTACCACTCTGGAAAATCCTTAGGTGTCTAGAACACTCCACTCCTCTATTGTAATGGGTAAAATGTCAAGAGGAGACAATTTAGTGGAGTACCTTCTGGTTCTACAGTACATGCTGAGCCCCACACCCTAGGCCTATAACAGAGGACAGCACAGAGGATTTACAGAAGAGGGCACACATCTCTAAATCTAATCAAAGAGCTTCCAATAGCTGGAGAATATTTTTGTCATCATTTTGTATTGAGAATCTTAAGTCTCATTGAACATCAAAGGTCTACTTAACCTAAAAACATTATTATTTTCAGGCAAATTCTGGGTTGTTCTAGAGAAAGATGGAAAATTAGTAGCTAAATTTTATAGAGAATCCTGTATTACCTAATGAGAGTCTAAACATAACATAAACTCCTTTAGTTCCCATCAGAACCCCCACTATGTAGGTACAATTACTACTATTTATCAACATGGGAATAATTATCAACTCATAGCACAAGGTCACAAAACTATAAAGTGTTAGCATTAGAAATAAATATCAGGCTTTCCAAAACTAATTAAGATGAAGTCAATTGTGGTAATGAATTCCAAAAGAACAAGATTGGTAAGCTTACCTGGCACAAACAAGTCCACAATAAGTGATCACTTTTGCATTGTGAAGTGCTAGTCTGTGTGGCTTCTTATAACCTTGCTTATCATTTTCTGTCTTAATTATCAAAAAGTGGCATTTTGTGTAACAGGGACTTCTGACAAGTTTCTGTTTCTTTTACAGAGGGTTATTTTCAATATTGTTAACTTCAGTAAAACCAAGAGTCTTTATAGAGATGGGATGGCACCTATGGTGAAATCTACCAGCAGACCGAAATGGTAAGTGACTCATTTGATGTAATCCATTTCTGACCAGAAAATTTGACTTGTTGCTAAGGTTTACCCTTTGCAGAGTTGGGGCACAACTTTCCTATAGCTGAGAAATACGAATTTGAGTTTCTATATGGCTACTATCTGAGCTCTATGTACTATTCTTTCAGCATGTTAGAGACTTGTTCTCATATTTACTAGAATCAACAAATGGATTTGCTTATGAGAGAAGTTACACTATGATGTTTGGTAAAATTATTGTCTCATTTTATTTTATTATATATCTTTGTAAATATATTTAAAATTGAACAACTATCCACTCCTCTTCCTTTGATCTATTCTAAATATAGATGATGTGCAGTAAACTAGGAAGACACTGGAAACTAGTTTAGCCCAGCATGTAATCTGTAGCCAACATGAATCCCAGAATAGCTGTGAATGCAGTCCAATACATTTGCAGATGACAATGTCATATCACAAAAATGGTTGGACAACCTGGATATATTTCTGTGCTCCTTCCTTCCAACCAACCTTCCTTCCTTCCTTCCTTCCTTCCTTTCTTCCTTCCTTCCTTTCATGTGTATGCTTTGGTGGTATTTTCTACAGACATTGTAGTTTTATAGATGTTAGAGTTTTATTTGTCCCATCACTATACTAAGGAGGAGAGAAGTGAGAGTGAGATGGATTATAATGATGATATTAATAGTAATACTAATAACTACACCATTTGTTGAGACCTCATTCTTTTGCAAACATTTTAATTCTGTAGTTAATATTTTCACTTTTGTAATAAATATTTTTTTAAATTTAACAAATTGCAGATGAAAAAGTTGAGGCTAGGGAAAATTGAGTATTTTCTCAAAGCCATGAAAGCTTAGGGAGGACCTAGTTATTTATATATTGCCTTATAAGGCCTTGAAGCTGCTTCATCCTATCCTCCATCTATTCCTTTATTTATTAAACCAACATTTGTTGAGACTAACAAAATGAGAGTTTTTAAAGACAGAAACCATGTATTAGTCATCTGTCGCACAGTAGGTGTTAAGCAAATGCTCTGGGCACTGAACTGAATACCTTATGAGAATTTATATGTAAAGCACCTGGCACTTGCTTCACACTCAATAAGTGTCATCTATTATTAATAATATGTAAAATGCTATACAAATGCAAGGAATTGTTAATATTATTCTAGCTTTGATCCTTGTTCAAATTTTAATGACTAGAGAGATGATAGTCTCCAAATGTCTGTATTTATAGAAAACTAGCATTTCATAAATATTGAATTGTGCTTTTTAACTACAAATGATGCTTGGCAATTTTCTATAAATGCTAGCTTGAGAAGTTCAGGTTTATAAAAATGCAGGCATTTGATAACAGTTATAAAAATTGTTATTAAATGGTAAAAATATCTCTGGTCATGATTTTTGCTTACTGCATGAAATCAATTAAACAGCTGCACTTTTGATGTCTTTCTGTCAATGTGGTCTGGACAAAGTGCATGAATTGAGTCTCTTAATCCAGGCCAATAACACAATAATATAGGCAGGCATGTGTGTTGATGGGAGCCTTAGACAGAACATCATGCATTTTCCCCAAGTTGTATGTTAAGATCTTATGTGGCAACAATAATTGCTTTCTATATTTCCAAGTGTTAGCTTTGGTTGCTCTAATTTTCTCTCCCCTCTCCTCTCTCTTTCTCTTCCCTCCCCTCTTTCTCCCTCCTGTTCCTTTCTCTATTTCACATTCCTTACAACTACTCATATTTCAAGTCTTACACCTAAAATTGTTTCATTTTACTACATGCCCTATATATTGTCTCTCTCTCTCTCTCTCTCTCTCTCTCTCTCTCTCTCTCTCTCTCTCTTTCTCTCTCTTTCTGCAAATAGATTTTGAATTTTTGGAAAAACTCTTACCTTAGGATAGACGTTAAATTCTTTACGTTACCTGGACTTTTATCTATGGAGATATTGAAAAATAGTATTTCTTTGCTTTTCAAGGTAAAATATTCTTGATGTGCCTCATACAGACCTATAAGTGATACCAAGACTTTGGGGTTTAGCTAGAATCTGGAAATCTGTTTGTTATAGAAAGTAATTGAAGAAAAGTCACATCTGAGAAGCCATTATGCAAATATATGATCACTCAGTGCTTTCCCGTTTTAAGGAGATGAAGTAAAAATTTAATGGCAAATGGTGAGGCTATAGGAAATTCTTTGACTGTTTTAGTGCAGTAGAATTAATTCTGTTCTTACACTAGCCCTCTTAATGATTATGGTTAATGTCTTCTAGGATTACTACTAGGATTTTTCAGTAACAATTCATCAATAATTCTTGAAAGTGCCAAAAGTAGGCCTGGCAGTGGTGGCACATGCCTTTAATCCCAGCACTCGAGAGGCAAAGGCAGGCAGATCTCTATGAGTTCAAAACCAGCCTGGTCTACAGAGATAATTCCAGGACAGCCTCCAAAGCCACAGAGAAACCCTGTCTTGAAAAACAAAACAAAACAAACAAAAAAAGAAAGTGCCAAACGTAAGCTTAGTATGTGTGAACACTGCTGGAAACTGGCATTTCTAGATGTCTGAGATCTGTATATTTGTATCTGCAGAAATTGAGAGTAGAAATATTTACACAAGTAGTTAGTGGTGTTGCCATCCAGAAGCTCATGAACCTAAGTGCAATTTTTCAACCATATGCAAAACATTCTGATGGTGGGAGAAGGGAGCACAAGGAGCACAAAGAAGCATGTTGTCGTATGGTCTTTGGTTGGTCTGAAATACCTTCTCTGATTTCCCTTTCGAATATAGTAGACTAAGAAGATTGGAATGAACTTTAAAAGTAATTTCTACTTAACATTTTATTTTTGGTGTAATCTGTGCTAGATTTTGTAATGATAAATATGAGCCTGATCTGATTTTATTTTTTGGTTTTGTGAATTGCTTATAGGTATACTCTTAGGAAACATTAGGAAGTACATAAAGAATGCTGTGGATTAAGTAGGGGAAACAAATTCGTATTGTAGGGAGAGCCCTATAGGCAAAGGCGAAGGTGGTATTTCAGCTGGATTATCTATGGATGGAACATGAAAAAAATAATTGGGCTCCAAGAAGAAGATGTAATGTGGGGATCTATAGACGTGGCTCTATTCAGTCTTGACTTAAGGTCAGAGAGCTCAAGCCTATTATTGTTCCTTCAAGGTTGAGCCACAAGATGTTTGGCCTAAGATGTGGATACTGTATGTCTTTCCTAGACAACAGAATATTTGACATAAGGTATGGATAATGAATGTCTTATCTGAAAAACAGGATATTTGGTATTGGGTGTGGTTATTTGATGTTTTGGGAATTAAGGAGGTAATTACATTAGTTTGTTCCTTGTATCATGGTAAGGAAGTCTTTTGCCTTATTTGGGGATATAAGAACTTGGGGCAATAAACTTGGGGCTAATCACAGTATTTATTGGATGCCATCCTGATTCTATCTTCTGTTTCTTGTATATTTCTTTCCTCAATCCACACTGCTCCTTTCAAACACAGTTGGGACAAGTTGGCTGGACCAAACAAAGTAACAATTTACCATGCCTGCTACCTTTAAAATGTATTTGTAAATAGTAATAAAATAATGATAATAATACAATTTGCTAATGCTGTTATAAAAACAAATGTGAAATAGATGGATAAATACATTTAAAAGTCTAAAATGTCTTGGTAGTAAAACAAAATTTTAAACTCCCTATTTATTTCCCCTTGGTTTACCTAATACTTAGTTTTATGAGCATTATTCTTCCTCTCTTCTGTCTGCCTATTAATAACTGCTTACTGAATAGTTATAATGTACCAGTAGCTATGTGAGGAACTGAAGCATGTTGGTTAATGGGTATAATATAATATATAGTCTGTTGAACTAAAAACTAAAACTATAATTCTAAGAAAATATTTTAACTAGTATAATGGGAGATTAAGTATGCTGTAGAAACTATGCAGCAGCCTAAGTATCATTTAAGATTTAAATTTAGGGACAACAATATGTTTTAAGAGGTAAAAGAGTTTCCTACAAAAGCCCAGTGATCTGAGTTTAATCCCAGAAACCCACATTAAATGGAAGGAGAAAATCAATTCCTTAAAATTGTCATTTGGCCTCCAAACACACATGTGGTGATATATTGTTTGTACAAATAAAATATGTCTAAAGATCAGAGAGATGAAAGAGCAAACCCACAGCCACCTTACTTACTCAACTTTTCAGCCATAAAAAAAGAGTGAGTTCCTGTTTGCTCCTGTCTATATTCCTTTCTCTCCCTGTCCATCTCATCTCTTGACTCCACCTCTCTAATGCTGGGATTAAAGGCATATACCACTATTGCCTGGCCTCTATGGTTAGCTAGTGGCAAGCTCTACCCTCTGATTTTCAGAGGCTAGTGGCTGTGGTTTTGCTCTTCATCTCTCTGATCTTCAGACAGGCTTTACATGTATAGCACCACACATACACCATGGCGTGTTTGTGCTCCCATGCAATCTCACTCTCTCTCTCTCCTCTCTCTCTCTCTCTCTCTCTCTCTCTCTCTCTCTCTCCTTCCTGTGTGTGTGTGTCTGTCTCTTTTACACACACACACAGACTCACACACACACAAACACACACTCATATGTAAATAAAGATTTTTAAAGTGTTAATCTACTACAAGAATAAAGATACTTCCTCAGGAAGTGTCATTTATTCTGAGAGCTAAAATATAAGTAGTAGGTAGAGACATTTATATGAAATAATAGAATCTATTTAAAGCCTAAAATGAGAAATAACATTGTCTTTCAAATCGCAAAACAATATTGAAACATGAAAGAATAGGAGACAATATTTGGAGAGTTGTGTCAGAATTAAGTCGAGACAGGTGTCATAAGGGAATCTAGGGATTTTGTACTTGATTCTACTAGTAGTGGATAGAAACTTAGGAACTCAGCAGACACAAATCACATTGCTATTGCCAATTTAGAAGACTCAGTCTGTCTGAATAGAGAAT